GCACAGCCAGTCGGAACAGTAGGAGGCACAGGTGGTGCATCAGCCACTCATCTCAGTCAGTCGACCCGTGACAGCTGGGTCTGCCCCGTGACCTCCTGCCAGCGGGCATTCGACACTTCACGTGGCCTCAAGGTGCACATAGCCTGACACAGGCGTCGTGGTGACGTCACCTCCACTTAGTGGTGAATGGCGGTTGTTGTTGTTGTGCTGGTGGTGCTGGTGGTGGTGCTGGTGGTGGTACTGGTGGTGGTACTGGTGGTGGTGCTGGTGGTGGTTGTAGTAGTGGTGGTGGTATTGAGGGTGGTATTGGTGGTGGTCGTGGCGGCTGTGATGGTAGTGGTGGTAGTGGCGGTGGTGGCTGTTGTGGTGGTGATAGTGGCGGTGGTGGTTGTCGTGGTAGTGGCGGTGGTGGTTGTGGCGGATGTGGTGATAGTGGTGGTAGTGGCGGTGGTGGCTGTTGTGGTGGTGATAGTGGCGGTTGTGGCGGATGTGGTGATAGTGGTGGTAGTGGTTGTGGCGGATGTGGTGATAGTGGTGGTAGTGGCGCTGGTGGTTGTGGTGGTAGTGGTGGTAGTGGCAGTGGTAGGAGTGGAAACCGGAGTTTATATTTTTCCTCCTCAGATCTCCGAAGCCGCCATCTGACTCGACCACGAAGCGGTGGTGCAGCGAGCGACCACTGTGGCTGTGATCGTTGTTGCGGCTGTGATCGTTGTTGCGGCTGTGATCGTTGTTGCGGCTGTGATCGTTGTTGCGGCTGTGATCGTTGTTGCGGCTGTGATATTTGCTGCATATCTCTGCGATTGACGCTGCGATCGTTGTCGTCGTTGTGATCGTTGTTGTGATCGTTGTCGCGATCGTTGTTGTGGTTGTGATCGTTGTTGTGATCGTCGCTGTGGTTTGTGATTGCTGCTGTGATCGTCGTTGTGTTTGTGATCGTTGTTGTGACCGCTGTGGTTTGTGACTGCTGCTGTGATCGTCGTTGTGTTTGTGATCGTTGTTGTGACCGCTGTGGTTTGTGACTGCTGCTGTGATCGTCGTTGTGTTTGTGATCGTTGTTGTGGTTGTTCGAACATCGCCCCCCCCCCACCTGCCCCCCACCTCAGCGTGCTCAAGGCCGCGGACCGCGAGCGCCGCTTGTCCATCGAGGTGTGGGACTGGGACCTGACGTCACGCAACGACTTCATGGGGGCCCTCTCCTTCGGCGTGTCCGAGCTCACCAAGTCCCCCGCCAACGGCTGGTAACCACGTGGGGGTAACCACGTGGGGGTAACCACGTGGGGGTAACCACGTGGGGTAACCACGTGGGGTAACCACGTGGGGTAACCATGCGGGGTAACCATGCGGGGTAACCACGTGGGGGTAACCACGTGGGGGTAACCATGCGGGGTAACCATGCGGGGTAACCACGTGGGGGTAACCACGTGGGGGTAACCTTGCGGGGTAACCACGTGGGGTAACCATGCGGGGTAACCACGTGGGGGTAACCACGTGGGGGTAACCATGCGGGGTAACCATGCGGGGTAACCACGTGGGGGTAACCACGTGGGGGTAACCTTGCGGGGTAACCACGTGGGGTAACCACGTGGGGGTAACCACGTGGGGTAACCACGCGGGGTAATCACGCGGGGTAACCACGTGGGGGTAACCACGTGGGGGTACCCACGTGGGGTAACCACGTGGGGGTAACCACGCGGGGTAACCACGCGGGGTAACCACGTGGGGGTAACCACGCGGGGTAACCACGTGGGGGTAACCACGCGGGGTAACCACGCGGGGTAACCACGGGGGGGTAACCACGTGGGGGTAACCACGCGGGGTAACCACGCGGGGTAACCACGTGGGGGTAACCACGTGGGGGTAACAATGCGGGGTAACCACGTGGGGGTAACCACGTGGGGGTAACCACGTGAGGGTAACCACGTGGGGTAACCACGCGGGGTAACCACGTGGGGTAACCACGTGGGGTAACCACGTGGGGGTAACCACGTGGGGTAACCACGCGGGGTAATCACGCGGGGTAACCACGTGGGGGTAACCACGTGGGGGTACCCACGTGGGGTAACCCACGTCGGGGTAACCACGCGGGGTAACCACGCGGGGTAACCACGTGGGGGTAACCACGCGGGGTAACCACGTGGGGTAACCACGCGGGGTAACAACGCGGGGTAACCACGTGGGGGTAACCACGTAGGGGTAACCATGTGGGGTAACCACGCGGGGTAACCACGTAGGGGTAACCACGTGGGGGTAACCACGCACGTGGCAACCGCACGGTGCAATGGCGAGGCGCAACCGCGCAAGGGCAACCAGGCAGCGCGGTGCGACCACGGACGGACGGGGCCACACGGAGGCGTCCCACCTGTGCCGTACCTGTCGCCGCGTGTGCGCGCCGCAGGTACAAGCTGCTGAGCCAGGAGGAGGGCGAGTACTACAACGCGCCCATCCCGGACGGCGGGCCCGAGGACAGCTTGCTCGTGCGCGACAGGATGGAGGTGCGAGCCCCATCCCCCCCCCCCCAAAAAACACCTCCACCTGACGGACACGCGGACAGAGGAACAGGCAGACTTGTCGGTGGAGCCGACGGCCAGACAAACGAACGGGCATGGGATGAATCAGGCAGGGAGACAGGCAGGCAAGGCAGGCATATGGACGATGTGATAGGTGGATGCACGGCGAGGGAGACAGCCACTTAGACAATGAGAGGGACGGGCAATGAGAGAGACGGGAGATGCAATAGGCCGGACGAGCGGGTGAAGTCGTGCAGACGAGTTGAGTCAGACAGACGCAGTCTGTGTCCCTGAACGCCAGGTGGCAGCATTGCCTGGGCTACGAGATGGGGATGGAGAGGGTGGGGGGACCCACCTGTCCCCCCACCCGCTCTGCTCCTCCGATCTCCATGGCAACGCCCTGGTTGCCAAGGCAACCCCACGGCTCGTTGCCTTGGTTACATGAGAGTGTGTTCATGCGAGAGTGTGTGCGTGTGTGTATCCATGGCTCAATGGTGAGCGACCCAAGTTTGATTCCCGTTCGCAGCCAAAATGAGTGGCGAATATTTTGACCGGTCCTGGGCCTCCCTTATGTCGACTCAGCCATAAATGAGTAACTGGGGCGGTGCGTAAACATGAAGAATGGGAAGACAAAGGCGGCTGGGCGTTCTGCTCGCCACATGTGTTGTGCCAGCAATCATAGGTGCTCGCTAGCAGCACTTGCCCGAACAGTCTGTTAAATGCTATACGGGGGGATCTTTGTCTTTGTGTGGGTGTGTGTGTGTGGGTGTAGGTGTGTGTGTAGGTGTGTGTGTGTGCGTCTGTGTGTTCCAACCGTGCCGTGGGGAGCGGTGGTTGTAGCGGTTAGCGCTACGCTGCGCTATGAACCCGGCGACACGGGTTCGATTCCCGCTCACGGCCAACACCCAGTGACGATTATCTGAACCGGTCCCGGGCCTCTCCTATGTCGACTCAGCCTGAAATGAGTACCTGGTGCGGTGTGTAAACATTGCTACTGGGGAGACAAAGGCGGTCGGGCGGGGTGCTGGCCACCCACCCCCTCGTGTATCGTTCCGGTCTTCATAGGGTGCTCGCTAACAGCACTTGCCCCTACAGTCTGTTAAGGCTATACGGGGGATCTTTGTTTTGTCCAACCGTGCCTCATTAATCTTCCTCACTCAAATAAAACTCGCCACGTGGATATGATTCCAATTAGCGCGACCCCACCATCGTCAACGTCATGGTCACCATCATCAGCACCACCACCACCATCATCGTCACTGCCATCATAATCACCATCACCATGACCACCACTACCATCATCATCACCATCACCACCATCACCGCCACCATCACCACTGTCACTACCACCGTCTCCACCACCGCCACCATCACCCACCATCACTACCATCACCACTGCCACCATCGCCACCGTCACCACTGTCACCATCACCACCGCCATCAGCCACCATCACGGCAGGGTGGGATCCCTGTCATTGTCTGGCTACGAGCGAGCACCGTCGTGCTGCGGCATCGTGGCCACGGTTCCTCGGGCGCCGTGGCGGCCTTCGCGAGTCGCTCGCGAACGTCACTTGGCCCCGACAGCCGATAGAGGCGACACAATGAGTGGTGGGGGGGGGAGACTCTTTGTTTGTGTTTCCGTGTCCGTGACTGTGTTCACAATCGAGAGGGAACTAAAATAAAACCACCACCACCACCACCACGGGAGTAGCGTTCACGGGAACCGGGGCGCGCGGAGGGGGGCAATGCGAGCTCTCAACAACGCATTCGTGACGGCGATGGTCGCAGGCGCGTGTGCACGCGTGTGTCTGTGTGTGTGCACGCGTGTGTCTGTGTGTGCACGTGTGTGTCTGTGTGTGTGCACGCGTGTGTCTGTGTGTGTGCACGCCTGTGTCTGTGTGTGTGCACGTGTTTGTCTGTGTGTGTGCACGCGTGTGTCTGTGTGCGTGCACGCGTGTGTCTGTGTGTGTGTGCACGTGTGTGTCTGTTTGTGTGCACGTGTGTGTCTGTGTGTGTGCACACGTGTATCTGTGTGTGTGCACGGTGTGTATCTGTGTGCAGGCGTGTCTGTGTGTGCACGTGTGTGTGTCTCTGTGTGCACGTGTGTGTGCACGCGTGTGCCTGTCTGTACAGGGAGCGATAGTGTAGCGGTTAGCGCGCTGCGCTATGAACCTGGCGACCCGGGTTCGATTCCCGCTCACGGCCAACACCAGTGACTATTATCTGAACCGGTCCCGGGCCTCCCCTAGGTCGACTCAGCCTCAAATGAGTACCTGGTGCGGTGTGTAAACATTGCCACTAGGGAGACAAAGGCGGTCGGGCGTGGTGCTGGCCACCCACCCCCTCGTGTACCGTTCCGGCCTTCATAGGTGCTCGCTAACAGCACTTGCCCCTACAGTCTGTTAAGGCTATATGGGGGATATTTGTCTATTTGCCTGTCTGTACATGTCTGTGCACGTGTATGTGTGCACGGGTGTGTGTGTGTGCGCGTCTCTGTGTGCTCGTCTGTGTGTGCATGTATTTGTGCGCATGTATTTGTGCGCATGTATTTGTGTGCATGTATTTGTGTGCATGTATTTGTGTGTGCGTGTGTCTGCGTGTGTGTGCGTGTGTCTGCGTGTGTGTGCGTGTGTGTGCGTGTGTGTGCGTGTGTGTGCGTGTGTGTGCGTGTGTGTGCGTGTGTGTGCGTGTGTGTGCGTGTGTGTGCGTGTGTGTGCGTGTGTGTGCGTGTGTGTGCGTGTGTGTGCGTGTGTGTGCGTGTGTGTGCGTGTGTGTGCGTGTGTGTGCGTGTGTGTGCGTGTGTGTGCGTGTGTGTGCGTGTGTGTGCGTGTGTGTGCGTGTGTGTGCGTGTGTGTGCGTGTGTGTGCGTGTGTCTGCGTGTGTGTCTGCGTGTGTGTCTGCGTGTGTGTCTGCGTGTGTGTCTGCGTGTGTGTCTGCGTGTGTGTCTGCGTGTGTGTCTGCGTGTGTGTCTGCGTGTGTGTCTGCGTGTGTGTCTGCGTGTGTGTCTGCGTGTGTGTCTGCGTGTGTGTCTGCGTGTGTGTCTGCGTGTGTGTCTGCGTGTGTGTCTGCGTGTGTGTCTGCGTGTGTGTCTGCGTGTGTGTCTGCGTGTGTGTCTGCGTGTGTGTCTGCGTGTGTGTCTGCGTGTGTGTCTGCGTGTGTGTCTGCGTGTGTGTCTGCGTGTGTGTCTGCGTGTGTGTCTGCGTGTGTGTCTGCGTGTGTGTCTGCGTGTGTGTCTGCGTGTGTGTCTGCGTGTGTGTCTGCGTGTGTGTCTGCGTGTGTGTCTGCGTGTGTGTCTGCGTGTGTGTCTGCGTGTGTGTCTGCGTGTGTGTCTGCGTGTGTGTCTGCGTGTGTGTGCGTGTGTGTGCGTGTGTGTGCGTGTGTGTGCGTGTGTGTGCGTGTGTGTGCGTGTGTGTGCGTGTGTGTGCGTGTGTGTGCGTGTGTCTGCGTGTGTCTGCGTGTGTCTGCGTGTGTCTGCGTGTGTCTGCGTGTGTCTGCGTGTGTCTGCGTGTGTCTGCGTGTGTCTGCGTGTGTCTGCGTGTGCACGTCTGTGTCTGTGTGCACGTGTGTGTGCCCGTCTGTGTCTGTGTGTGCGCGTCTACGAAACCAGCGGCCCGAGTTCAATTCCCGAACTCTGTGTGTCTGTGTGCGTGTGGGGAGCGGTAGTGTAGCGGGTTAGCGCTACGCTGCGCTATGAACCCGGCCACCCGAGTTCGATTCCCGCTCACGGCCAACACCAGTGACGATTATCTGAACTGGTCCCGGGCCTCCCCTAGGTCGAATCAGCTTCAAATGAGTACCTGGTGCGGTGTGTAAACATCGCCACTGGGGAGACAAAGGCGGTCGGGCGTGTATACCGTTCCGGCCTTCATAGGTGCACGCTAACAACCCCTAGGTCGACTCAGCCTTAAATTAGTACCTGGTACTACATGTACAATGTCGGCACTGGGGGAGACAAAGGCGGTCAAGCGTCGGGTCAGTCAACCACCTCCTCGTGTGCCGTGCCGGCGCTCATAGGTGCTCGCTAACAGCACTTTCCCCAGCAGTCTGTTAGAGGCTATACGGGGGATCTTTGTCTATATAGGTGCTCGCTAACAGCACTTTCCCCAGCAGTCTGTTAGAGGCTATACGGGGGATCTTTTGTCTTGTCCATGGTGCAGAAGCATGCACGCATGCATGCGTGCGTATTCGTGTGCATCTACGAATATACACACGCGTGCGCGCCCCTGCCTGCGCGTTTGTATTCATAGGTGCTCGCTAACAGCACTTGTCCCGACAGTCTGCTAAGGCTATACGGGGTGGGGGCTGTCTTTGTCTTTGTGTATTCGCGTGCGCTGGCTACACCACCTTCCTCGCGGGCCTTCGTAGGCGCTACTCGCTTACAGCGCTCTGTCCCAAGAGTCCGTTAACGGCTGTACGGGGGTGTGTGCGCGTGTGTGTGTGTGCGAGTGTGTGTGTGCGCGCGTGTGTGTGTGCGCGCGTGTGTGTGTGTGCGCGCGTGTGTGCGTGCGTGCGTTCACGTGCGCGTGCGCGCGTGTCTAGCAGCTGCGCCCAATGGCTTCTCGATGGCCCCCAGGGCCCACTCGAGCGAGCGCATCGCTCGAGTTAAACTCCGCATCATCACGGCGCCTTTCAGACACTCGCTCTGTGCGCCTCTAACGGCCCCCGACCCCTTCCACCCCCCCTCCCAACCCATCCCCCAGCCACTCTCCCCCACCGTGCGATACGTGGTGGCACGATTCGACAATTTCCACGGCGAATTATAATCATGATGGTGATGATGATATTACAATTGTTATCGTCGTCGAGTGTCACGCGGTGATGCGCCGTCATGGAGTGACGGTCAGCGAGCCGACCTCCGGCTCGCGACGCAGAGGTCACTGGTTCGTGGTTCCATTCCACCTCCTGGAGGGCGCGAGATGTTGTCACGACGGGGGGCGGTTGGGGGTCGGGGGGTGGTGATGGTGGTGGAGAGGGAGCTGAGAGTCTCTCGGAACCTCCACACACCGCCCGGCCGGTTGTCCCACCGGGCAGCGGCGTTGTCACGTGCGCTGGTGGGGGGCTGGGGGGGGGGGGGGTGACGTCTGGGTTACTCCCAACCCCTTCCAAGCTGTGGGAGAGTCAATGGCTCTGCCCCCTCCACCCACCTCGCGTAGAGGCCCGTGCACGTGCGCTAGAGGAACGAAACTAGGGCCGTTGCCCGAAACGTCGCCTATGACAAGAGTTCGTTTTTTCTTCACTTTGACCCTGCGGTTTGAATTCATTCTGCATCCGGCTTTGTGATCGGGCTTGGGACAACATTGCGTGTGTACTGTGTGTGTGTACTGTGTGTGTACTGTATACTGCGTGTGTACTGTGTGTGTGTACTGTGTACTGTGTGTACTGTATACTGCGTGTGTACTGTGTGTGTGTACTGTGTGTGTACTGTATACTGCGTGTGTACTGTGTGTGTGTACTGTGTGTACTGTATACTGCGTGTGTACTGTGTGTGTGTACTGTGTGTGTACTGTATACTGCGTGTGTACTGCATGTACTGTGTACTGTGTGTGTACTGTATACTGCGTGTGTACTGTGTGTGTGTACTGTGTGTACAGCGTGTGTACTGCGTGTACTGTGAGTGTACTGCGTATGTACTGAGTGTACTGTGTGTACTGCGTATGTACTGTGGGTGTACTGTGTGTGTACTGCGTGTGTACTCTGCGTACTATGTGTACTGCGTGTACTGTGTGCACTGCGTATGTACTGTGCGTGTACTGCGTGCATTGCACGCGTTGCTCGGCAGGCAGCCGTCTGCTCGTGCTGTTCCGCTCTGTTGCGCAATTTATTTCGCACCGCATCTGCTACCACTGCTGCTGACTACCACCACCACATAAAGCGAGGGGGTGGAGTGGGGCTGGGGGGGGGGGGGGGCTTGGGGAACCTGTGTGCACATGTCCCCCCCACACCCTTTCAAGGCCGCGAGGACGGCGCTGCTGACGAGCGTCTCGAGGTTTAAAGAGGAGCCCGGGACATTTCGTTGCCCGGCAAACAAACAAAAAAGCCCCCCCCAAAAAAATCCCCCGGCCGCTGAACCTCCGCGTTTGCGTTCAGCGCCGTGCAGTACGCGTAAAGGTCTGTCGGTGACTAAAGGTCACGGCAGTCCGGGGGGGGGGAGGGGAGGGAGGAGGCCTCGGGGGGGCGGGGGGGGCGGCTTGCAGTAAACCACGCAGGGCACAGCGGCTGTGGTATATCCGCGGTGAAAGACGGAGGAGAGAAGGGGCCCTTGGAAGGAGGGGTGGTGGTGGGGGGGGGGGGAGTTTCGGTGATGAGAAGGATGTTGTGAAGATCTCTTTAAAGGGAGAGGGGGACAAGGAGGAGGTCATGGCAAGCGAGACTCAGATGGTTCGGGGGAAATGTGTTGAGGAGAGAAGATGCAACGAGCAGGGTTGTGGAGATCGGAGACCCGCAGACCTACGCAGAGACCCGCAGACCTACGCAGAGACCCACAGAATCACGCAGAGACCCACAGACCCACAGAGAAGACCCGTAGACTAATACGGTGACCCATAGACCCATACAGAGACCTATAGACCTATACAGAGACCCATAGACCCATACAGAGAGCTATACAGAGACCCATAGACCCATACAGAGAGCTATACAGAGACTCATAAACCCATACAAAGACCCATTAGACCGGTAGCTCGCAGTAGAGGAGGCAAGATTCCTCGATCTGCAGATTGATGCGCTGCATCGCCGCGTGACAACGTTCGCGGGCTGTGATTGGTCGTCACGATGCTGAACGCCGCCGTTCGGTCCGCAGCGCCGCCCGACCGCTCGCTCGGACGCGGGCAAAGCGGTCGCGAGCGGCGATTTTGTTGGCCGGGAGCACGGGGAGGTGCACACTGGTCGCGGTGAGATTTCCGAAAGGATTCTCCGACCCCCCCCCCCGAAACCTGACCGCCGACGGCGTGGCTGAGAATAAAATTTGGCGGGGAGGAAAAACTAAAAAAAAATTGTGATATGGTGACCCCGTGGCCTTGTGACCCCGTGACCCTGATAACCCACAGAGGGCCCACCTGGGTGGCAGGGGCCCCATGGGGGGGGTCATCACCCCCCCCATCGCCACCCCCGAGTCCGATCGATCTCCGTCGCCGTCCGTGGGAGGCCCCCACAAGCTACGGCTGCAGGATTTCACCTTCCTCACGGTGCTCGGCAAAGGCAGTTTCGGCAAGGTGCCCCCCCTCCCACACCGTGCCCCCCTCCACCACCACCGTGCCCCCCTCCACCACCACCACCGTGCCACCACTCCCACACCGTGCCCTCACCACCACCACCGTGCCCCCCTCCATCACCACCGTGCCACCACTCCCACACCGTGCCCCCTCCACCACCACCGTGCCACCACTCCCACACCGTGCCCCCCTCCACCACCACCACCATCGTGCCCCCCTCTACCACCACTACCACCACCGTGCCCCCCTCCACCATTACCACCGTGCCACCACTCCCACACCGTGCCCCCCACCACCACCACCACCACCGTGCCACCACTCCCACACCGTGCTCCCCTCCACCACCACCACCGTACCCCCCCTCCCATACCTTGCCCTCTCCACCACCACCAACACAACCCTTACGACTGCCACCGTGAGGCGGCGATGGCGACGCGAGGTGGTGATGGCGGCGATCGATTGCGGCGTCGGACGTTACGGCGACGGCGACTGCCGCGATGCGGCGGTGGCGACTACGATGGCGGTGACGCGATGGCGGTGTCGCGATGGCGGTGACGCGATGGCGATGTCGCCAGGTGATGCTGGCGGAGCGCAAGGGCACCGAGGAGCTGTACGCCATCAAGATCCTGAAGAAGGACATCGTGATCCAGGACGACGACGTGGAGTGCACGCTAGTGGAGAAGCGCGTGCTGGCGCTGTCCGACAAGCCGCCCTTCCTCACCCAGCTGCACTCCTGCTTCCAGACTGTGGTGAGAGGCCTCGCTCCTCGCTCAACCGCCCGCCCGCCCGCCCGCCCGGCCTCGCTAGCGCAGACACGGTGGCGAGATTTTAACTCTCTTCATTCTTTCGTATGGCCGATGTTAGATGCAGAGCACCAAATACAAATTCACACGAAAGTTGGTCAAGCCCAGGCAACCGCGTCGGGAGTAGCGGAGCGTATCGCTGTGATGTCTCCTTCGTATTTGTGGGTCGGGCGTTGTGTCGTTGTACGGTCTGTTCTAGATGACCACAGTCATACACTGGAGAGTTTTTAATTTAACATCTGTGCATCAGCTATCTGCATGTGCGATTTAGGGTGGACCAGGGGCTTAACTACCTCGCCCGGTATACAGGAGGTCTTGGGTTTGATCCTGACCCTGACGCCTGTATATTTGGAGTTTGCATGCCTCTCTCACTTTGTGGTTGTGTGGATTTTTCTCCTGCTCCTCCAGTTTTTCGCTCCACATTTAGAATTAACATGCATTGAGAGTATTTGCCTGCCATCAATGCCCACACGATAAACCACTTTGTTCAGCAATCATTTGTGGTCAGGTAGCTTCTAAAAAATAGCTACACAGCTCAGCGGTCCTTACCTGGTAAAGACAAATAGTAGTAAATACACGCACATTCGCTCACTGTCTCGCTCGCTCACTTTTACTCACCCACCCACTCACTCCCCTGTGTGCTTAGGACCGGCTGTACTTCGTGATGGAGTACATCACGGGGGGTGACCTCATGTTTCAGATCCAGCAGCTGAGCAAGTTCAAGGAGCCGCACGCAGTGTGAGCGCGGCACAGCACAGCACGCCGCTCCACGCCGTGCCACGTGATGACACGTCACGCTATGCCACGCCGTGCCACGTGATGCCACATCACGCCACGTCATTCCTTGTCATGCCACGCCGTGTCACGCCGCGTCGTGCCACGTCACGCCATGCCACGCTGTGCCACGTGATGCCAAATCAGCCTATGCCATGCCACAGCACGCTGTGCCACGTCACTCTGCGGTACGCCACGCCGTACCACGTGATGGCACCTCATGCTATGCCACGCCGTGTCACGTTACGCCGTGTAGCGCTATGCCACGCTGTGACGTCATGCATCACGGAATGTCACGCAATGTCACGACATGTCATGATATGACATAAGTCATGAAATGTCACGATATGTTATTATAATACACGATGTCACGTGTGGCCACGTGTTGTCTCGTGTTACCTCATGTTGCTCCGTGTTGCCCCGTGTTGCCCCGTGTTGTGTGGGACAGGTTCTATGCAGGAGAGATCGCGATCGGCCTTTTCTACCTCCACAGCAAACGCATCATTTACAGGTGCAATCGTCATCATAATCACAATCAGCATCACGAAGCATAATTTATTGGGATCATCATCATGCTCATCAGCAGCAGCTTTAGCATCGCGATTGTCATCACCGTTGTGATCATCATCAGCAGTGTCTTCATCATCGTCATCATACATTATTTAAACATCATCATGGACTTCACCACCAATCTCGTTACTTAAGTGATCTTAACCTGGGTCTTATTTTCTCAGCAGCACTAATGATCTCTTCCGCGCTAATTATCATGGCCTCGTTAATGATTTCGGTCTCACTAATGATCTCAGCCTTGCTAAGGATCGTGACTATGTCCCCACTGGGCCTACCCCTATGACTCCCCATCACCATCATCTTCTCTCTCGTGTGGATATCAGCTGTGTGAACAACGCGTGCACTCGGAAATCACTCCTAGTGAGCCACAGGCTCACACAAAGAGCCACAGACTCACACAGAGAGCCACAGGCTCACTCAGAGAGCCACAGACTCACGTAGAGACCGTTACACTCACACAGAGAGCCACAAGCTCACACAGAGAGCCACAGACTCACACAGAGAGCCACAGACTCACGTAGAGACCGTTACACTCACACAGAGATCCACAGACTCACACAGAGAGCCACAAGCTCACACAGAGAGCCACAGACTCACATAGAGATCCACAGATTCACATAGAGATCCACAGGCTTACACAGAGGGCCACAGACTCACACAGAGAGCCACAGACTCACGTAGAGATCCACAGATTCACATAGAGATCCACAGGCTTACACAGAGGGCCACAGACTCACACAGAGAGCCACAGACTCACATAGAGATCCACAGATTCACATAGAGATCCACAAGCTCACACAGAGAGCCACAGATTCACATAGAGATCCACAGACTCACATAGAGATCCACAGATTCACATAGAGATCCACAGGCTTACACAGAGGGCCACAGACTCACACAGAGAGCCACAGACTCACATAGAGATCCACAGATTCACATAGAGATCCACAGACTCACATAGAGATCCACAGGCTTACACAGAGGGCCACAGACTCACACAGAGAGCCACAGACTCACATAGAGATCCACAGATTCACATAGAGATCCACAGACTCACATAGAGATCCACAGACTCACACAGAGAGCCACAGACTCACACAGAGATCCACAGACTCACATAGAGATCCACAGATTCACATAGAGATCCACAGGCTTACACAGAGGGCCACAGGCTTACACAGAGGGCCACAGACTCACACAGAGAGCCACAGACTCACACAGAGAGCCACAGACTCACACAGAGATCCACAGACTCACATAGAGATCCACAGATTCACATAGAGATCCACAGACTCACATAGAGATCCACAGGCTTACACAGAGGGCCACAGACTCACACAGAGAGCCACAGACTCACACAGAGAGCCACAGACTCACACAGAGATCCACAGACTCACATAGAGATCCACAGATTCACATAGAGATCCACATATTCACATAGAGATCCACAGGCTTACACAGAGGGCCACAGATTCCCAGGGATGCCGATGCGTCCTACTTGATTGCTGCAGAAATTCATATCCAATGTGCCCCCCACTTTGTCCCCCTCCGTGACCCTGTGTCCCCCCCCCGTGCCCCCCCCATGTCTCCCCCGTGTACCTAACTGTGTACCCCCGTGTCCCCCCCATGCCCCCCCCCCTCGTGTCCCCCCTCCCGTGTTCCCCCCTATACCCCCCATGTCCCTTTTGTGTCCCCCCAACCCCCCCCCCCTTGTCAACCCTCCTGCCCCCCCCGCCGCTCCCCCCTTTCCCCCGTGCCCCCCCCCCCCCCCCCCCAGGGACCTGAAGCTAGATAACGTGATGCTGGACGCCGAGGGCCACATCAAGATCGCCGACTTTGGGATGTGCAAGGAGAACATGGGGGACGGCGCCACCACACGGACCTTCTGCGGCACGCCCGACTACATCGCGCCTGAGGTTTCCTGTCGCGTCCGCGCCGCTACGCGGCACACCACACCACACCACGCACCACACTACACTACACACCACACTACACCACACACCACACTACATTACACACCACACTACACTACATTACACACCACACTACACCACACACCACACTACACCACAGACCACACTACATTACACACCACACTACACCACACACCACACTACATTACACAACACACTACACCATACTACACCACACACCACACTACACCACACTACATTACACACCACACTACACCACGCACCACACTACATTACACACCACACTACATTACACACCACACTACATTACACACCACACTACACCACACACCACACTACATTACACACCACACTACATTACACACCACACTACACCACACTACATTACACACCACACTACATTACACACCACACTACACCACACTACATTACACACCACACTACATTACACACCACACTACATTACACACTACATTACACACCACACTACACCACACACCACACTACATTACACACCGCACTACATTACACACCACACTACACCACGCACCACACTACACCACACACCACACTACATTACACACCACACTACATTACACACCACACTACATTACACACCACACTACATTACACACCACACTACACCACATACCACACTACATTACACACCGCACTACATTACACACCACATTACACCACGCACCACACTACACCACACACCACACTACATTACACACCGCACTACATTACACACCACACTACACCACACACCACACTACATTACACACCACACTACACCACACACCACACTACACCACACACCACACTACACCACACACCACACTACACCACACACCACGCTACACCACACACCACACTACACCACACTACACCACACTACACCACACACCACACTACACCACACACCACACTACACCACACTACACCACACTACACCACACACCACACTACACCACACACCACACTACACCACACTACACCACACTACATTACACACCACACTTCACCACACTACACCACACTACATTACACACCACACTACATCACACACCACACTACACCACACACCACACTACACCACACTACACCACACACCACACTACATCACACACCACACTACACCACACTACACCACACACCACACTACACCACACTACGCCACACTACATTACACACCACACTACATCACACAACACACTACACCACACACCACACTACATTACACACCACACTACATCACACACCACACTACACCACACACCACACTACATTACACACCAACTACACCACACACCACACTACACCACACTACACCACACACCACACTACACTACATTACACACCACACTACACCACACACCACACTACATCACACACCACACTACACCACACACTACACCACACTACACCACACACCACACTACATTACACACCACACTACACCACACACCACACTACACCACACACCACACTACACCACACTACACCACACTACACCACACACCACGCTACACCACACACCACACTACACCACACTACACCACACTACATTACACACCACGCTACACCACACACCACACTACACCACACTACACCACACTACATTACACACTACATCACACACCGCACTACACCACACACCACACTACACCACACACCACACTACACCACACACCACACTACACCACACACCACACTACAACACACACCACGCTACACCACACACCACACTACACCACACACCACACTACACCACACTACACCACACTACACACCACACTACACCACACTACACCGTGCTACACCATACTACACCACACACCACACTACACCACACTACACACCATACTACACCACACACCACACTACACCACACACCACACTACACTACACACCACACTACACCACACACCACACTACACCACACACTACACCACACCACACTACACCACACACTACACTACACCACACACCACACTACACCACACACCACACTACACTACACACCACACTACACCACACACCACACTACACCACACACCGCACTACACCACACACCACACTACACCACACACCACACTACACCACACACCACACTACACCACACTACACCACACACCACACTACACCACATACCACACTACACCACACACCACACTACACCACACACCACACTACACCACACTACACCACACACCACACTACCCCACACTACACCACACACCACACTACACCACACACCACACTACACCACACACCACACTACACCACACACCACACTACAACACACACCACACTACACCACACACCACACTACACCACACACCACACTACACCCCAGACCACACTGCACCACACACCGCACCACACTACACTACACACCACACTACACCACACACCACACTACACCACACTACACTACACACCACACTACACCACACACCACACTACACCACACACCACACTACACTACACACCACACTACACTACACACCACACTACACCACACACCACACTACACCACACACCACACTACACCACACTACACCACACACCACACTACACCCCAGACCACACTACACCCCAGACCACACTACACCCCACACCACACTACACCCCACATCGCACCACCCTTAGCCACGCGACACCTCTACCACCACTCACCGCACACGCCACGCACACAAACACATCGCCGCGCCCACCCCCCGCCCCCCAAATAGTCTCTGCCGCTCCACCGACCCTCACCTCCTCGCATCCCCCCCCACCCCCGCCGAGCAGCTTGCCCGCCCCGACCTCCACCGCTCTGCTCCGACGGAGCCGCAAAATGGTTTCGTGAAAATAACCGCTACGTAAATAAACGATGTCGCTTTAGAGAGAGCAAACTGTGGGGAGGGGGATGTAAATGTGAACACTTTGCCCTCGTTTGTGGCAGCCGAGTGTAATCGCTCGCGGTGCCAATGCAGGGGTCAGCACCCCCCCCCCCCCCCACTCTTCAGCTTGGTTTAGGGGTGGGCTGTGGTTAATTTAGTAGTAGGCTGTGGTCAGGGTTGGTTTAGGAGTTGGCTGGGGTAAGGGTTAGCTTGGGGGTATGCTGGGGATAGGGTCAGGCTGGGTTAGGGTTAGGCTAGGTAGGGGTTTAGGCTGGGGTTGGGCCACGCTGTGAGAGGGTTATGGTAGGCAGGGTCGGATTAAGATTGGGTAGGCCCCTGGGCTACAGCTACTGTGAGTGCCCCCAATAATATTTTCAAAAGGAAAACAAAGTTAAAGAAAATGTATTTTTACAAGGCTAACAACAAATAAAATTGTGCATTCACAAGTAAAAATAACTTTTCACTGAAATCTTGACTCAAAGCTTCCGTGACTTGCAGGAATTCACGTAGATAGGTTTTTTTGTTTGTTATTTTTGGTTATTTTCTTTGCACCTATCCACGTGACTTTACCGAAAGACCCAAGAATAACTTTTCACTTAATTCTCTGGAGGCCCTCCAGCTGGTGGAGACCCCCGGACTCCAGCCCCTAAAGCCCCCACGCCTTGATCCGGGTAAGGCTGCGGTTGGGTGAGGGTGGAGTTAGGGTCGGGGTCGGAATCCAACTCGAGCCTTTTGTGCGTCTCCCCCCAATCAGGGACGTCACGGCGTTTTCGAGCGAGCAATTAAATATTCATCTCCTCTGGAGCCCCGATTTCGCCCCGTGATCACAACTGTGACTCGAACACCGCCTCGTTTAATTCACCCCTCAATTATTAATGTCGTTAAAAAAAAAATACTCACGCACGCACATGCGCTAGCAAACACACGCACGCACACGCAGCAGAGACAAAGGTCCCCCGTTGTAGCCTTTGACGGACCGTTGGGGCAAGCACCGCTAGCGAGTCGCACCTACGACGGGCCGGCACTGTGGCACACGAGGGGGTGGCTGAACGGGACCACGCCCGGCCGCCTTTGTCTCCCCAGTGGCAATGTTTTACGCACAGCACCAGCTACTCATTTGAGGCTGAGTCGACCTCGGGGAGGCCCATAACCGGTTCAGATAATCGTCACCGCGTGCGGGAATTGAACTCTGGTCGTGGGATGCATAGCGCAGCGCGCTATCCGCTACACCACCGCTCACCACACAAAGATAAAGACACACACACGCACACACGGGCATGCGGTGGCGGATGTTGGTGGTGTTGGTTGTGGTGGGTGTTGGTGGTGTGGTTGTGTTGGCGGTGTGGTTGTGGTGGTTGTTGGCGGTGTGGTTGTGGTGGGTGTTGGCGGTGTGGTTGTGGTGGGTGTTGGCGGTGTGGTTGTGGTGGGTGTTGGCGGTCTGGTTGTGGTGGGTGTTGGTGGTGTGGTTGTTGTGGGTGTTGGTGGTGTGGTTGTGTTGGCGGTGTGGTTGTGGTGGGTGTTGGCGGTGTGGTTGTGGTGGGTGTTGGCGGTGTGGTTGTGGTGGGTGTTGGCGGTGTGGTTGTGATGGGTGTTGGTGGTGGTTGTGCAATGCGTGTGGAGCTCCGTGCTCGCGTTGGGCACGACATCGCCGCTGGCCAGGCGCACGGCTGCGCACTGCGCGTGAACAACAACAACAACAACGACGACGATCTGTGGTGACACAGACGACGAGAGAGCCTCTCTCTTGCCACGACACATTCACTCGCACGACAAGAGTCACATTCTCGTCCGTCAACCGGCGCGCTCTCTGAACATTGTTGTTGTTGTTGTTCCGGAAGCTTTCGTCTCACCCGCAGGGCGGGGCCCCGGTAGGGTAACCACCCGGGGGTGACCCTCACCCCCTCCCCCCGGCGTTTGTGGGGAGCGGTGGTGCCGTGGTTAGCGAACCCCGGCGACGCGAGTTCGATGACCGCTCGCGGCCACCTCTGTGCTTTGTGCAGACACCATCAACAGTTCCTGAACAAACAACAACAACAACAATCTGGGTTGCAGTTCTCTTGGGTCACCTTCAGCTAAATATGCGCGTGTGTTGTGTGTGTGTGTGAGTGACGATTCAATGAACCGGGCTTGGGCCTCCCCTAGGTCGACTCAGCCTCAAATGAGTACCTGATGCGATGTGCATAGGGAGACAAAGGCGGCCGGGCGTGGTGCTGGTCACCCACCCCCTCGTGTGCCACATTGCCGCCCTTCGTAGCTGCTACTCGCTAACAGCACTTGCCCCAACAGTCTGCTAAGGCTATACGGGGGGGGGGGGGGGGGGGGGGAGGGACACTTTGTCTTTGTATATATGTGTACGTGTGTTTGAGTCTGCGTGTGTGCACGTGCACATGGACTCGCCCCTCCTCATGAATGATTGAATGCCGAATGAGTTAGCGAATTAATTAGCGAACGCCTCAAGAAGCTGCCGGCACTGCAGGCGAAGCGTGAAGCTCCCTCGAGGGGATCGGGCAGGGGGGTGATGGGGGTCACACCGGGGTCTGTGCCATTATGGCCCCGAAAAACGATACGAGTCAAAAGACAAATGAGGCCATTGTATGGGGTGAGCGTTGTTAGCGAGCACCTATTAAGGCCGGTGCTGTCGTGGTATGTGGGGGGGGGGTGGGGGGGGGTGGAGATGGTGGGGGAGGCACGCACGCTCCGCCTTTGTATCCCCAGTGCTGCTGCCCTGGCCATAACGATGTGGCGTCGTCGTTATTTTTGGCTCAGTCGACCTAGGTGACACTGACGATGACGATCATCGTCGTCGTCATACTACCGTGATCGTGGCGACAGGTCGATGACGCCGACGAAGATGACGACGAGGCCGACGATGACTCTTGTCGCTTGCGATTACGGCGCGTGGCGACGCTGATGAGGGACGTTAACAATGACCTCGTTCTTGACGACGGCGATGGCGACGGCGGTGATGACGACGGCGATGACGACGACAGCGATGACGACAGCGATGACGACGGCGGCGATGACGGAGGCGACGGCGATGACGACGATGACGGCGCTGGCGATGACGGCGGCAATGACGACGGCGTCGATGACGACGGCGGCGATGACAACAGCGGCGATAACGGAGGCGACGGCGATGACGACGACGATGACGGCGATGGCGATGACGACGGTGGCGATGACGACGGCGGCGATGACGACGGCGGCGATGACAACGATGGCTGCAACGACGACGGCGATGACGACGATGATGACGACGGCGATGACGACGACGATGACGTGGCACGACTGGCGAGCGATTGGAGCGAGCCTATCGAGTCGTGCCGACCTTGCGAGGTCACGGATCGCAGTGGTTTTCATTTCCCTTCGGCAAGCCGAGATCCCTGCACTCTGAGCCGATCTCCTTTCTCCCCTGGAGGCGGGAGGGGGCGCCCACATCCCCCTCTCCCACCCCCATCACCGTCTTTGACCTCTCTCCTCGTGTCTCTCTCCGCAATCTTTGTCCACCTCCTCTCTCTCTCTCTGTGTCTCTGTGTGTCTCTCTCGTGTCCCGACTGTCCCGTCGCTCTGTCCGACTCTCTCCGCTTCCCCTGTCTGGCAGGCAGAGTGAGACATGCGCAGAGATAGAGACCCAGACAGACGGACAGAGACGCAGAGAGGCATAGGTACAGAGATACGTACGGAGAAAGATAGACAGATGCAGATGCAAAGGGACAGACAGATTGAGACATACTTCAGAGAGATATGCGAACAAGAGAGAGAGAGACAGAACAATAGAGACGCGGACACTTCGTGAAAATCCCTGCTGCTACTCAACAGAACGTGATGAATCTTTACCCACACCCCTCCCCCTCTCACTCCCTCCCCAACCCACATCCCATCACCACTGCTACCTCCCCTCCAACGCCATCACCGCGTGTGTAAATCAATGTGAAGCTGTTAGCTGCGCCCCTCACAGCCTCCCCCCCGGCAGCCCCCGCCCCCCCCCCTTCCCCACGTCTCATGGGGGAAAAAATAAAAATTTCTGTTGTCTTTTTTTGTCATCGAAAACTTTCGCCTGACGAGACACAGATCAAGGATGAGGTGAAGGTTAATGGTGGCGATGGTAGCGATGGTAGCGATGGTAGTGATAGTGGTGATGGTGGCGATGGTGATGGTGGCTGTGGTGATGGTAGTGATAGTGGTGATGGTGGGGATGGTGATGGTGGCTGTGGTGATGGTAGTGATAGTGGTGATGGTGGCGATGGTAATGGTGGCGGTGGTGATGGTGGGAGTGCTGATGGTAGTGACAGTGGTGATGGTGGCGGTGGTGATGGTGACTGTGGTGATGGTAGTGATAGTGATGATGGTGGCGGTGGTGATGGTGGGTGTGGTGATGGTAGTGATAGTGATGGTAGTGATAGTGGTGATGGTGGTGGCGGTGGTGATGGTGGCAGTGGTGATGGTAGTGATAGTGGTGATGTTGGCGGTGGTGATGGTGGCAGTGGTGATGGTAGTGATAGTGGTGACGGTGGTGGCGGTGGTGATAGTGGCTGTGGTGATTGTAGTGATAGTGGTGGTGGCGGTGGTGGCAGTGGTGATGGTAGTGATAGTGATGATGGTGGTGGCGGTGGTGATGGTAGTGATAGTGGCGATGGTGGCGGTGGTGATGGTGGCAGTGGTGATGGTAGTGATAGGTAGTGGTGGAGACATTGACGACGATCATGATGACGACGATGATTGTGGTGGAGACACTGATCACGATCATGACGACGACGATGACGACAATGATAGCGGTGGAGACATTGACGACGATCATGATGACGACGATGATTGTGGTGGAGACACTGATCACGATCATGACGACGACGACAATGATAGCGGTGGAGACATTGACAACGACTACGATGACATGGTTACACATCGCGGCGATGACAAGCCCGCCGTGAGCTTGATCTGAGCGTCAGCTGGAGAGAGACAGAGCGAGAGGGAGAGAGGGGGGGATATACGAATGTGACAAAGCTCGGAACGCGAGGGAAGAACACAGCGCTTATCCGTCCGTCCGTCCGCACGCCCGAAATAACTGCGCTGCTCTCCGCCCCCCCCTCTCTCACCACTCTTTTTAAAATGAGGTTGTCACAGAAAGTGAAACGTGTAATTATTATTCTTCTTATACGTCGCACGAAGCGATGGCGGTCTCACGGTTCGACGGGCTAGGTTCGAATGCGCAGCGAGTCGCGGGTCTCGATGACACACTCGCCAGTTGCTGGAGGGCATGCGGTTGGCTACGTACGGTGCGTAAGAAGTTCAACATGCATGTGCGTCGAACTTCTTTCGCACCGTACGTACCCAACGATGCTAAGCGGAGGTGCGCGCGTGTGTGTGTGCGTGGGAGCGCTCTGAACCCGGCGACCTGAGTTCCGATTCCAGTTCACGGCCAACACTAGTGATGATTATCTGAACCGGTCCTGGGCCTCCCCTAGGTCGATTGAGCCTATAATGAGTACCTGGTGCGAATAAGGAGACAAAGGCGGCTGGGCGTGGTGCTGGCCACCCACCCCATCGTGTGCTGTGCTCGCTAACAGCACTTGCCCCAAAAGTCTGTTTAGACGATACAAGGTGGATCTTTGTAATTTGTCTTGTACACTCCAATGAGTGGAGCGCTGGGCAGTTTACACACAGCCAGTCGGCACAGTTGGGGGCGCAGGTGGTGCATCTGCCAGTCATCTCAGCCAGTCAACCCATGGCACCTGGGTCTGTACCGCGACATGCCAGCAGCGAGCCTTCGACACTTCACGTGGCCTCAATGTGCACCTAGCCTGGCACAGGGGCCGTGGTGACGTCACCGCCACTTAGTGGCGAATGGCGGTTGTTGTTGTGTAGCTGGTGGTGGTGATGCTGGTGGTGGTGCTGGTGGTGCTGGTGATGGTTGTGGTAGTGTCGTTGGTATTGAGGGTGGTATTGGTGGTGGTGGTAGTGGCACGCAATAGCCTCAAAGTGCACCTAGCCTGGCATAGGCGCCGTGGTGACGTCCGCCGCCACTCAGTGGCAAACAGCGGTTGTTGTTCTTGTGTATAAGAGATAGGTGGCGCAGCGGTTAGCGCACACTACGCCATGACCCCGGCAATCCTCGTTCGATTTCCTGCTCATGGCCAGTGTCTCAACCGGCGCTCGCAGCCATCACGGAGAGTGCCCGCCGCGGAGATGGAGCGATAAAATCAGCTCGTGCGCAGGCGGAAGCCTTCATCCAGCAGCGGATTGATCGCGGCTGCTGCTGATGGCGATGTATGTGTGATGCGTGTGCTCGTATCAGATCATCGCGTATCAGCCTTACGGGAAGTCCGTGGACTGGTGGGCGTTCGGAGTTCTTCTGTACGAGATGCTGGCTGGACAGGTGCTCACCAGCACACCTGTACAACAGCCGTACCACCCAACACCTGCACCACTCAACACCTGCACCACTCAACACCTGTGCATCTGTACCACTCAAAACCTGTACCACTCAACACCTGTGCCACTCAACACCTGTATCACTCAACACCTGTACCACTCAACACCTGTGCCACCCAACACCTGTGCCACCCAACACCTGTGCCACCCAACACCTGTACCACCCAACACCTGTACCACTCAACACCTGTATCACTCAACACCTGTACCACTCAACACCTGTGCCACTCAACACCTGTGCCACTCAACACCTGTGCCACTCAACACCTGTGCATCTGTACCACTCAACACCTGTACCACCCAACACCTGTACCACTCAACACCTGTGCCACCCAACACCTGTACCACTCAACACCTGTACCACTCAACACCTGTGCCACCCAACACCTGTGCCACCCAACACCTGTGCCACCCAACACCTGTATCACCCAACACCTGTACCACTCAACACCTGTACCACCCAACACCTGTGCCACCCAACACCTGTGCCACTCAACACCTGTATCATCCAACACCTGTACCACTCAACACCTGTGCCACTCAACACCTGTGCCACTCAACCCCTGTATCACTCAACACCTATACCACTCAACACCTGTACCACTCAACACCTGTGCCACTCAACACCTGTGCCACCCAACACCTGTACCACTCAACCCCTGTATCACTCAACACCTGTACCACTCAACACCTGTACCACTCAACACCTGTGCCACTCAACACCCGTGCCACCCAACACATGTGCCACTCAACACCTGTGCCACTCAACACCTGTGCCACTCAACACCTGTACCACTCAACACCTGTACCACTGAACTGCATTTCCCTCTCGTGTTGATGGACTGGGTGATGATGACAATCATGATGCTGCTGATGCCGCTTTTTGTAACGATGACGATCATGATCGTGGTGGTGGTGGTGGTGCTAATGCTGCTGGTACTCCTGCTGCTGATGATTATGTTTATTCTACTGCTGCTGCATCTACTGCTGCTCATGATTCTACCGCTTCCTGATGGTTATTATGCAGCTGCTGATGATGATGACGCTTTCACGACTGTTAAGGCTGCTGCCGCTGATGATGCTGATCTTCCTGCTGCTGATAATGCCACAGTCGGTATCTAAAATACTTTTGGTTGCTGATGACGATGATGACGTCGCTGATGCCGCTGATGATGTCGCTGATGACGATGAAGATGTCGCTGATGCCGCTGATGACGATGATGATGATGTTGCAGCTGCCGCTTATGAAGATGTCGCTGATGCCGCTGATGAAGATGTCGCTGATGCTGCTGATGACGATGATGATGTCGCTGATGCCGCTGATGACGATGAAGATGTCGCTGATGCCGCTGATGACGATGATGGTGCCGCTGATGACGATGACGATGTCGCTGATACCGCTGATGACGATATTGCAGATGCCGCTGATGATGATGTCGCTGATGACGATGATGATGTCGCTGATGACTATGATGATGTCGCTGATGCTGCTGATGATGTCGTGCAGCCGCCGTTTGACGGGGAGGACGAGGAGGAGCTGTTCCAGTCCATCATGGAGCACAGCGTCTCCTACCCCAAGGCCATGTCCCGCGAGGCGGTGTCCATCTGCAAAGGGGTGCGTGTCCCCGTGTCCCCGTGTCTCGGCAGACGGCGCGTGTCCCCGTGTATTCTCCAGACTCTAAGACGCTCTATCCACCCCCCCCCCCCCGAGTGAATGTGTGTGTGTGTGTTACATCACAACGCGTAGAACTTTACTGACACGCGACACAGGTTTTTGGGGGATGCGTCGCGCCATTTTTTTCCGGAGCGTCTCACAGTCCCGAGAGAGAAGCTCTGGACAATCCACACGGAAACCCGCACGAAAATGCCCAATCTCGTCGCTCCATCTCCTCGGTTTTTCGGTCGTCCTCAGTGCTACGGGATTACGGTGTCGAGACACGATGCTCGCGTTGACGCCCTCTGGAAGTTCATCCACCACCACCAACCCACCCCTCCTCCGCCAACCCCCTCCCGTGCCCTTGATGAACGCACCCAGGTGACCCCTCCTGAGAATACGGTGGCCCCCACCCCCCTTTCCTGCCCCCACTCTTCCCCCCCCCCCCACCTCGTCTATCCGTGCGACCTTCCTCGGGGGGGGAGGGATGGAGGGAGCAGCACCGAGGCTGAGGAAGGGGGGTTTAGGAGGCGTTGGCTGTCACGTGATCAGCACGTGGCGGCGGTCACGTGGGAGAGGGAGAGTGAGCGGAGATGACAGGAAGGTCACGGAGGGAGAAGGGGGAGGGGGCAGGGGGACAGGGGGACAGGGGGCCGCATCCCGTCCTGACACGAACCCAGCAGCTCGCTCTCACGCTCATCATCACCATCGCAGTCTTCAAACTGACCCCCAGTCCAAGCCTTCACCCCTCACCTATCCCAATCTTTAACCCGAACTCAGCTTTTAACCGTTCACCACGGGCCTAACTCAACTATACACCAGCCCCAACCTTAACCCGTAACCCAGCCTAACTCTTAAACCCTGACCTAGCCCAACCATAAACCCCTGACGTAGGCTGATCCTTAATACATTACCTGGACCCGGAACTTAACCCCTAACCTCGTCTAGCTCTTACCCCAACTCTAAACCCTTATGCCCTAACCAAGTTTAACCCTTAACCCAACGCTTAAACCTTATCCCGATGCTTAAACCTTATCCCCTAACCTAGTTTAAGCCTTAACCCAACGCATAACCCTTAACCCCTAACCTAGTTTAACCCTCATCCCAACGCTTAACCCTTAACCCCTCACCTAGTTTAACCATTATCCCAACGCTTAAACCTTATCCCCTAACCTAGTTTAACCCTTAACCCAACGCTTAACCCTTAACCCCTAACCTAGTTTAACCCTTATCCCAACGCTTAACCCTTAACCCCTCACCTAGTTTAACCCTTATCCCAACGCTTAAACCTTATCCCCTAACCTTGTTTAACCTTTAACCCAACGCTTAAACCTTATCCCCTAACCGTGTTTAACCTTTAACCCAACGCTTAGCCCCAGCCGAGCCCCCTAGTCCCTGTCACAGGGCACGTGGCCTCCCCACGCGCCCCGTGGTGGCGGGGTTCAGGCCCTGCATGCGGGCTTCAGGTCTGCACGCGAGCCCTTTGATGTTGGCTCTGATGAATAATGGAGCGTAGCGCCAAGCAGGTAAAGAGCCACGCGCCAGGTGAGCAGAGCAGCTCCGTGGGGGGGGTGGAGGGTCCCTCTCATCCTCCTCCACCTCGTCCCCCCCACACAGACACATACACACAGATACATACACAGGTACATAAAAAAAAAACAACCGCCATTCGCCACTAAGTGGCGGTGACGTCACCACGACGCTTGTGCCAGGCCATGTGCACCTTGAGGCCACGTGAAGTGTCGAACGCCCGCTGGCAGGAGGTCACGGGGCAGACCCAGGTGCCACGGGTCGACTGACTAAGATGACTGAGATGACTGGCTGATGCACCACCTGTGCCCCCTACTGTGCCAACCTGCTGTGCTTCAGCCACCCGGCGCTCCGCTCGTTGTTATGAGCGTCGCTCCACCGCCCTCTGTTGTTGTTGGAGGGCGACTGCCTCTAACTGCCCAGTAGCGTCCTTCACGAGCCTCCTCCACAGAGGTCGATCTTGACACCGCTGGTACCAGTCATCGGCAAGTCCACTCAGCTCCACGTCCTCCTGTACCACATCACTCCATCTCTTCTCTAGCCCGTGCCGCGCCCGTTTAACAAAAGCTGTTTCGGCATGCGGTGGCTGGGCATGCAGGCTACATGACCCAGCCAACGCAGCCTTGCCTGCCGGAGGAGCTCACCGATGGGACCTTGCTCAGATCTTTCAAGGATTTGTGAGCTCCTCACACAATCCAGCCTGGTTAAACCCAGGATGGGTCGTAGGCAGGCCAGCCTAAATGTTTCTAATCGGCGAAGATGTTCTATTTAGGGGGTCCACGTTTCGCAAGCGTAGAGAAGGGAGGGAATGACCGTGGCCGAGAAGACCTGAAGCTTAGTGCGGAGCGACAGACCAGGTAGCTTCCATACAGCGTTACGCAACCGATGAAAAGATATTGCCGCTCGACTGATTCGGAGTGAGACCTCTGCTGTTAAACTGGAGCCGGTCATAAGCACACTGCCCAGGTATGGGAAACTCTCCACTCTCTCCACAACTGCCCCATCACCAATTGGGAGTTGTGGGGGTGGAGTGTCCGATGGTACAAAATACCCAGGCAGGTGCTTAGTTTTGGTGGGGCTGATGGTAAGGCCCCATCTCTTAGTGGCACGCTCCAGTCTCAGCAGCAGCGTCTCCAACTCCTCCTCTGAATGAGCAGCTATTACCAAATCATCGGCATACATAACGTGGTTGAGCAATAGGGAGCCATCCCTTGACCGCACCCGGGCATCGATCAGCCTCCCAATATATCTGTACCAAATGGAGATTTCCCCGGTACAGCTATTGAAGGCTTCACGAACTACGTGGTCAAAATAGATGTTAAATAATGTGGAAGCCAGAGGACATCCCTGTCGCACCCCAAGGTGTACAGGGAATGGCTCTGACTCCCGGCCACATAGTTTTACCCGGGCCCGCTCACCATCATGAAGGTCCTTAATGATCGTGAGCAGAGGGTCAGGGACTCCAAAAGCACGAAGAACAACCCAGAGCCCAGGCCTACTGATGGTATCATAGGCCTTGACCAGGTCAATAAAGCAGAGATGTAGGTCTTGTTGGAATTCCCTACACCTCTGCTGAAGCAGACGGACAGAAAATATGGCATCTGTGCAGGACCGCCCTTTCCTGAAACCGCATTGGGGCTCCGCAAGCCTCTCCTCAGCGTGCCTGGCAAGGCGATGTTGAATAATCCTTGCCAGGACCTTTCCCAGCACACTGAGGAGTGAGATGCCCCTGTAGTTGTTACAGTCTGTGCGGTCGCCCTTCTTAAAGAGGGGGACCACAGGTACATACACACAGGTATATACACACAGACACACACACAGATACACAGATACATACACAGGTACATACACACAGACACACACACAGATACATACACAAAGATACATACACAGGTACATACACACAGGTACATACACACAGACACACATACAGATACATACACAAAGATACGTACACAGGTACATACACACAGGTAGAAAGACAAAGATCCCCCGTATAGCCTTAACAGACTGTAGGGGCAAGTGCTGTTAGCGAGCACCTATGAAGGCCGGAACGGTGCACGAGGGGGTGGGTGGCCAGCACCACGCCCGACCGCCTTTGTCTCCCCAGTGGCGATGTTTACACATCGCACCAGGTACTAATTTGAGGCTGAGTCGACCTAAGGGTGGTCCAGGACAGGTTCAGATAATCGTCACTGGTGTTCGCCGTGAGCGGGAATCGAACTCAGGTCGCCAGGGTTCATAAAGCACCGCGCTAAACCATTGACACAGCCACCCCCCCCCACACACACACCCCACACAGACACACCCCACACACACACCCCACACACACACATCCCACACACACACACCCCACACACACACACCCCACACACACACACGTCGCCATACAAAGAGACACAGACACACATCGACGCGCGCACACACACACACGCACACACACACACGCACACACACGCACACGATGTACTGGAGCATTTGCCACACTTACACGGCCGTCGTGCCGCCGACGCAGAGCCACGGGGGTTGGGAGGAGAGTCGGGCGGGGCCGTGGGGGGGGGGTGGAGTTGGGGGGTGGAGGGAGGTAGGAGGGGGGGGTGTTGATGGAGTGGGGGGGGTTGTGATTGGTCCATTGAAACTCTCGCACAAAACTACCCCCCCCCCCCCCCCCCGTGGCACCATCAGCACCACGCGGTCAAACGTGGGAGCGCCCTCGACCGACTGACGAGCTTCCGTATCGCGCTCAACTCCCGAGGTCCAGATCCCGGTGCCGTTACGCAATCGCCAATGATTAATAAAGAGCGCCACCGACCTTGCCGTGCCGCCTGCTCACAACAATCGATTCCAGTTGATTCCACCTCCTCCCTCTCCCCGTAGCGATCGCGCCGTCTATAATTATCGCACAGCTCCGAGTAACCGAATCTCTCCACGGTTCCACACCGCCCTCGCGCGCGGCCCACCGAAACGCGACGTTTTCCGGGGTCGTGCCCGACGTTCCGCGCCGCGAACCACGGCAGGCTGCTTTTTGCTGGAGCCCGAATGAGCGACGTGGGCGCTTCCTCGATGCTTATGAGGCGATTGTCATCAGGCCCCTCGAGCGTTCGGGTAGCCAAATCAAACGAATATAACGGAGGGCGGCACACGGCACACGAGGGGGTTTGGTGTCACTGGCACCACGCCCGGCCGCCTTTGTCTCCCCCCGCAGTGCTGACGCTTACACACCGCACCAGATAATCATTGGAGACTGAAGCGACCTATTTTGGGAGGCGCAAGAGCGGTTCGGATAATAGTCACTCACTGACAAAGACCTTCGCGAGTAGCACCAATACTCATCGACACACGCATAGTTATTGGATGGTGACCTAAGAGAACCGTATAGCCTCAACAGACTGTTGGGGCAAGTGCTGTTAGCGAATAGCACCTATGAAGGT